GCCTGCCGGCACGCTTTTTACAAGCGGAACCAGGCCGGAGGCGAGACCATCGCAGATTTCGTGGCGGCCCTTCGCAAAGCCGCACGGCCATGTAATTTCCACAACGTGGAGGAAGCCCTCAGAGACCGTCTCGTCTGCGGTCTCAAAGATGAAAGGCTGCAACAGAGGCTGTTCGCCCGCACCACCCTGACCTGGGCAGTGGCCTACGAAGAGGCCGTGGCCGCGGAAGCAGCGGAGAAGTCCACGAAGGAGGTCCGCCAGCGGGTGGCAGAGCCCAGTATACACGCTCAACGAGACAGCGAGGGCGAAGACGCGGATGATGACGTCAACGCGGTTCGAGGCAAGCGGACCCCAGCGAAGACTACCAACGTCAAGCCTTGCTCCGGTTGTGGCGGGAAGCACCAGCGCGGCTCCTGTTGGGCTCGTGATGTCGACTGCAGAGCGTGTGGGCGGCGTGGTCATCTGGCCAGAGTCTGCAGATCAGCGAAGAAGGATCCCTCAACTAACAACCGGTCAGCGCAGAGGGGCACTCCAGTCAGCACCCAAGGCAAGACCCGTTCCTCAGCATCGGAAGCAAGCTGCCAGTTGACGGCGACCTTGTCGAGCGCATCGGCCGTAAATCGCACCAGCAGCCAGGGCAAGATCACCGTGACTCCACTCCTCGACGGCCGACCCTGTACAATGGAGGTGGACTCAGGATCGTCCGTGACGGTGATTTCTGCCGCGTCCTGGCGCCAGTTGTTCCCGAACCGAAGCCGGCGGCGGCTCCAGCCTGCGGGAACCAGAGTGTCCGACTTCCAGGGCAACCGAATTCCCTTGGCCGGACGGGACTCTGTTACTGTTGAGTATAAGGGGAAATGTGTTAAACTGTCATTCCTGATTGCAGAGGGAGACCGGGTTAACCTGCTAGGGTTAGATTGGTTTGAGCCATTGGGCATCGGTATTTCTGGGATTAACAGGATGTCTGAAAATAAATGGGGCATGCTGTACGACCTGTTCCCTGATGTATTTGCCGAAGGGTTGGGAAGGTACAAGGGCCCCCCGGTTGCGTTTGACTTAGATCCGTCAGTCAAACCTATTAGGTTGAAGTATCGGAAAGTACCTGTGTCTCTCAAACATAAGGTGGAAAAAGAGATTGACAAACTAGTTGAGCAAGGGGTTTTAGAGCCAGTACCATACAGCAAATGGGAGACCCCGATCGTAACCCCTGTCAAATCAGATGGGTCCATACGACTATGCGCCGATTACAAATGTACGATTAACAAGGCGCTGCAGCAACATTCGTACCCGGTCCCGGTAATAAGCCACATTTTGGCTTCCCTGGGGGGTGGCAAGATTTTCGCCAAATTTGACCTGGCCCAGGCATACCAGCAGTTGCCTGTCACCCCGGAGGCTGCCGAGGCCCAAACAATTGTAACCCACCAAGGGGCTTTTAAAGTGAACAGGCTGCAATTCGGGGTCAACGTAGCACCTGGGATTTTTCAGGGCCTCATGGAACGTCTACTAAGGGGGGTACCTGGCACAGTGCCCTATTTTGACGACGTGCTGATTGCGGGCGGGTCTGAACAGGAACTACTGGACCGGGTTAAAGAGGTCCTCAGGCGTTTTCAAAATGCCGGCCTCAGAGTTAAGCGCTCAAAATGCACGCTCGGGGTGGAAAGTGTGGACTTCCTGGGGTTTCGCATTGACGCAGAGGGAGTCCACCCCACGGATGAGAAGGTATCTGCAATCCAAAACGCCCCCAGGCCGGTGAGTAAGAAGGAGCTCCAATCCTTTTTAGGACTCCTGAATTTTTATCATGCGTTTTTACCGCATAAGGCATCAGTGGCGGCCCCTTTGCACGCGCTTTTGCACAAGGAGGCAAAATGGAAGTGGGGGCAGGCCGAGGAAAAGGCTTTTGTGGGAGTCAAGGAGCTGCTGACATCTAATGCCGTACTCACGCATTATGATGAACACAAGCTCCTGGTGTTAGCTGCTGACGCTTCACCGTTTGGAGTAGGCGCAGTTTTAAGCCATCTGATGCCTGATGGGAGCGAAGCGCCTATCGCTTTTTATTCTAGATCACTATCTGCGGCAGAGCGGAACTATGCCCAGATAGACAAGGAGGGTCTGGCGTTGGTAGCGGCTGTCAAAAAGTTCCATGATTTTATTTTTGGCAGACGATTTTTGCTGGTCACTGACCACAAGCCGCTACTGGGGATTTTTGCGCCCGATAAGCAATTGCCAAACATCATGTCCCCACGCATGCTTAGATGGGCGATATTTTTGCAGGCTTATGATTTTGACTTAGAGCACCGGCCTGGGAAAGCGATTGGGCATGCGGATGCCCTCAGCCGGTGCCCGGTGCCGGACATTGGCGCAGACCCTGCCCCCGCCTGTGAGGTCTTGGCAATTGAGGAGCTTCCTCGACCCCCGGTATCATCCAGGGACATTGCAGCACACACGGCCAAGGATAGCGTGCTGTCCCGAGTATTAAACTGGGTTTGGAGGGGGTGGCCGGTTGGAAGCGTTGAACCGGAGTTCGGCCCTTACAAAAGCCGTCAAAATGAACTATCCATTTCTAAGGGCTGTGTATTATGGGGGAACAGGGTGGTGGTTCCTGACAAACTCAGGACGAGAGTGTTAGAGTCGCTGCACGAGGGTCACCCCGGTATGGTACACACCAAAGCGTTGGCCAGAGGGTATGTCTGGTGGCCGGGGCTGGACAAAGAGATCGAAGAATGGGTACGAGGGTGTCCCAAATGCCAGCAAGTCAGACCCGATCCCCCACAAGCTACACCCCAAGGCTGGGAGTCATCTGGTAAACCCTGGGCCAGATTGCATATAGATTTTGCTGGCCCTCTCCAAGGGCAAATGTTCCTAATTGTGGTGGACGCTATGTCCAAATGGCTGGAGGTCGTGCATATGAAATCGACCACATCACTTGCTGTGATCCATGCGCTCCGCCGACTTTTTGCCACCCACGGGTTGCCTGACGTCATCGTCAGTGACAACGGGCCTCAATTTGTGTCTGAGGAATTTAGGCTCTTCCTCACGAGTAATGGCATACGCCAAATGACTTCGGCCCCTTTCCATCCGGCATCTAATGGCCAAGCCGAACGGATGGTCAGGACGGCCAAAGAGGCCCTGGGTAAAATGGACGAAGGGGACTGGAGCCAGAGGCTGGGCTCCTTTCTTTTGCTGCAGCACACCACCCCCTGTAGTGCTACAGGCCGTAGTCCGGCCGAATTGTTAATGGGGCGGAGACTCACGACCCGTTTGAACCGAATGCACCCAGACCTCACTGAAGAGCAATCCGAGCGTACCACGGCGCAACCGAAGGTGCGCATGTTTGAAAAAGGGGACAAGGTTTTCGCACGAAATTATGCAAACGGGCACTTATGGCTTCCTGGGGTTATATCCGACTCTGTGGGTACTCGAATGTATGTGGTGCAGTTAGCTGACGGTCGAATATGGCGGCGCCACATAGATCAGTTAAGGAGACGTTGGGCTAGGGACAGCGCTGACTCTCCGACGGCTGAATCCCCTGATGTCGAGTGGACACCCCCAGAGCAGGCGGTGAGTACCGAAAGGCCCGGTACTGTCCCCGAGTCAGGGCAGAACCCTGTGTGCGGGGCTGAAATCCCAGTCGAGTCTGTGCCTGATCCAGGCTGTAGTGAACCCCACTCTGACCCACAACCTTGTCTGCCCGTGGAGCCTGCACCGCTCCGCAGGTCCCAGCGTTCGCGGCAAATGCCGACTTATCTGAAGGACTATGAGTGTAATTAATGTGGGAATAACTGATGTACAAAAGTTTGATTGTTTGTAATAATAAAGCTTTTGGGATGATGGCTTAACTTAGGGGGGAGGAATTGTAATGTATTGAAACGATTACATGAATCATCTCATAGGGCTCCTATGTTAAGCTTCGAGCCATACCAGGGCTCCTCTGAGCGAACTTCCTATTGGTCGCTTCGTAACAGCGACCAATCAGAACGATACCATTCCCTAGGAGGGAAAGACTCCCATTGGTCCTTATCCTAGCAATCTCATTGGTTGTTAATTGTAAATAGGCGTGGCTACATTAGCCCGGTTATGTTTAAAAGGAGCATAAGCTCCCACTGTTTTCTGTTCTGGTTTCTTACTGAGTTAGTGCTTGTTCGTTACTTCTAAATAAAGCTGAATCACTTGCTGAATCACTCTACGAGTCCTTGTTAGCGCGATCTAACAATTTCCCTTCTATTTTTCTTTTCCTTCTGTGACTGAGCCGCCCTAGTTATCTGTTTTCTCCTGCTGTTACAGTATAATATTTTGGCTATTTGCTCACACAGGAACCTGAGGGGATGGCCTTTAACTTATACAACTTAAATGGAACTCGGGAACTTTTTATATTCCAAATAAACAAAATATTTTATTTAACACAGAGGTAACTCTGAGGTAAAATCAGTACATGCACAGACTTTAGTTCTTACAGATTTCTGAGGTAGCTCAGTATAGATAACTGTGAGGTAAAATCAGTTCATGCACAGACTTTAGTCCCTACATTTCAGGCTAATGAGAGTTTCTAAAGCTGTTCACAGTTACCTAAAATCTTTATGTTGAGAGGCTTTTGTTCCAGTGTTTTCCAAACACTTCAGTACACTTTCTTTGAGTATTCTCTAATTTTTTTGGTTTCCAGATGGCTGGTACACTCTTCCAGTAATTAAGCCCCTTCTCTTAAAACACCAGTACTTGTCTTGAGTTTTTAAATAACTTTTAAGGTCTCTAGAGGCAATTTCTAACCACACCAGACCAGAGACCTCTATTCTCTTCAGAGTTTTCACCCTGTTTGGACTTGGTAAGGACATTCTTTCTCTCTCTAGAAGATCTATCCCCATTCCTTATAAAAAGTGCAGTCCGTCACACAGGCACACTGATAAAAGAAGAAACCCCTTCAATGAAAATCTGGGGAATCAAAAATGGGGAAAACACAAAAGAAGAGAGGGGAAAAAGAGAGAAAGACAGACATAACACATACTTACTTCTCGGTTTATCCGAATCTTAGCAAGCCCAATCGGACACAGGTTGAAGAGAAAAAGAGATCAGAGACAGACAGATTAGTGAGACACAATCTGAGAAACTGACCCAAACATTTAGTAGCAAAGGGAGTACACCGAACAGCAACGTACAGGAACCAAGAAGGAACAGAAATGGCAGGATAAGGGATCTGGGGATGGGGCAACTTCATTCTTTTACCTCAAATGAACTAGGAACAACATTGCCCACCACTAGAAAATGACCCCAATTTCCAGTTTAGCTACTCAGAATCTTCAAAAGTGGAATATTCTTCTTACATTATTTTGAATTTCAAGAGCTTTCAAAATACTGGTTTCTTCCAATGCAATTAAATTCAAGAGTCATTCCAGAAGCATAGCCGTGTTTAGGGAGTTGTAGCAAAAATAAACAGGAGCCTGCTGACACTTTAAAGACTTTTTATTTTACCATAAGCTTTAATGAAAGCTTGCAGCATTTCCTCACTAGGCTAGGGAGGATCATTGCATCTGATGAAGTGGGTTCTGGACTACAAAATACTAGAATAAAAATGTGTTCGTCCTAAATTGCCACAAGATATTTACTGATTTTGGTTAGGCAATGTAGATGAAACAAACTACCTATCTTCAAAACACATTTAGGATGTTCAAGATGGATAAAAGATAGCATGTTTTTGCATGATATATCAGTCACAGACAAATCTCCCTGGCCAAAGATGTGGAGGTGGGCAGCCATTGCCTTAGGCAGCTTTAAAAGGAGACTGGACAAATTCATGGAAAAACAGAAATCTTTCCATGGCATGGATGATACTGGGGAAAAACAACCCCTAGTTACTGGAAGTGAAGGTGTGACTAAGATCAGTATTAGGAAAGCAAGGATTCTGTTACACCCATTACACTGTATGAGTGCAACGTGCCGTCAAGTCACAGTGACTTATGGTGACCCCAGCAAGGGGCTTCAAGGAAAGTGATGAAGCAGAGGTGGTTTGCCATTGCCTTCCTCTGCAGAGTCTTCCTTGGTGGTCGCCCTTCCAATTACTGACACTGTTTAGCTTCCAAGAGCTGATGAGATCTGGCTACACCATGTCACCTTCCTTCCCACCCATGACATTTTATTGGGATAAATGATGTATATAAGATCCAGTAGAATTGTGATGGATCTTGGTCCCACTTTGATCAAAAGCTGAATGAGGAGAAGGGACAATGGGGGATATTTACAGAAAGCACCCACTAGTCCTTGCTATCCTTTTGAGTCATCCCTAATGACTGGCTATCTAGCCACTTGCTAAATGGTACCTCCATGTTTGGAGCCAATATACTTTTGACTACAAGTTGAGGTGAGAGTAAAATAGCAGGGATGGCTGTTGTATTTGTGCCCTGTTTATAAAGGCTTCCTGGAGGGCATCTGGTTGACAACTGTTAGGAAGAAGAGCCTGGACTAGACTATCCTTCCTGTATTCTTATGGTAAATAGTCGATATCACTGCATGCCAGGCATCAAATACTTCCAGATACTAAATACTGAACTCAGATGAGCAAATATTGAAATCAAATCTTCTCTTGTTGTCCAAACACATCTTATCAACTCTTCTACAAATCTTCAAAAATCCTGTGAATATCTGACACGAAGACGGAGAGAATTTTTTGAGTGCAAATTAACTTGAGCTCCAGAAGAAATCCTTTTGAAGACTCTGTGCTGATAGTGGTACTCAGGGCAGGGCTGCTTCTGCTGTTTACATTCCCTTGTCTGGGTTTTGGAAACACAGGCTATGACAGGCTATACCCCTTTAATGAATCTTAAGTGTTACAAAAGACTCTGCTTGAGACCTTGGAGAGCTGCTACTGGTCAAAGGAGGGATACTTTGCGATACTGAGCTAGATACTGACTTATACTAACTTAGTGATACTGAGCTAGATGAACCAGTCAGGTAGCTGCATATGGGGAGAGACTATGACAGTGGAAGAGAGTTTGCTAAATCCCCAGGCCCAATCTCCAGTTACAGGATCTTAAGTAACAGCTAGATTTCAGAGTGGTAACTCTGACAGTTTGTAGGAGCAAAATGAAACAGGAGTCCAGTGGCACTTTGGAGACTAACAAAACGTATTTCAGCATAAGTGTTTGTGAGTCAGAGCTCATTTCATAAGAGCAAAGATCCATGGCAAATATATATATCAGAGAAGCATGTATGTATGTATGTATGTATGTATGTATGTATGTGTGTATATATATATATATATATATATATATATATAGTCAAAGTTGCACTATTTCTCCAATGGATGTATGCACTATTTCTCCAATGATGTACTATTTCTCCAATGGATGTATGCTCTGACTCACGAACGCTTAAGTGGGAATAAATCTTGTTAGTGTCTAAAGTACTATGGGACTCCAGTTTCAGAAAAACTTCAGAGAGCATTGTTCTTTTAATGTACTGTCCACCACCATCTTAAATGCACTGTCAGTATACTATAATGTTGCTGGAACATTCTAAAGACTAACTAGTTTATTCTTATTCTGTAAGGTGTCATGAAACTCGTCTCAGTTATTCTGATGGCAGCAAACTAATCCAGCTACCCTTCTGGAATTCATCAGTTATGTTGTAATCTAACCCTGAGTGGCAGAAGGAATGTCTTGATGGCAGTCATGATAAAACTGTTTTACCCTGGCTATTCATCAAACCATTTTGCAAGAAAAGAATAAGAGAGAATTTCCAGTACACCATTGCTGAAACAATGGTGATGGAAAGTGTTATCAAGTTGCAGCTGACTTATGGTAACCCTGTAGGGTTTTCAAGGCAAGAGACAAACAGAGGTGATTTGCCATCGCCTGCTCCTGTGAAGAAACCCTGGACTTCCTTGGTGATCTCCCATCTGAATGCTAACCAGGGCCAACCCTGCTTAGTTTCCAAGATCTGAAGAGATTGGGCTAGCCTGGGCCATCAAGCTCAGGGCTGCTGACACAATACAGCCCTAGAAAACATTTTGCTTGGCAGATTGAAGCAGGGAGCTTCTGCATTCTGACCAAGTACTCTACCACTGAGCCACAGCCTCCTTATATATGGACATGCATTGGATTCTGTCTTGAACTGCTACTCCACCATAACTTCCCATTCCTGGGGGTTGACTCCTCATATTGAATAAAGGGGAAGGATTATTTGTTTCTGGAGATGACGATGGTTCAGGAAGAGAATGGAAAATGCTTTAAAGTAATGGGTGTGGGAAGTAGGATCTCAAAGGGTTAGACGGAGGAGAGAAAACAAGGGGAACAAGGAAGACTAAGATAAATCATAGGTGACAACCAACAATGTTTCTAAGAGACAACAAAGGAGAAAAAATGACTTTGGGATTTTGCCATAAATGGCTAGTGGAAACAGACCAAAGCCCTGATGTACTTACATCAATGTAGTTGGCATTGATATAGTCTGAGTTGGGATCGCCAAGAAGGGGGTGGAGCTTAACGCGATGCCGATCATCTGGAAACAAAAAGAGATGTGACCATAAGAAGTACAAAGGTGGCAGAACTTTGACTCAAGTGGTTCTCAGTTATCAGAACATCTTGGAGAGAAGAAAAGTGAAAATCGACTGCAGTCACATGAGCCAGAAAAAATGGGAGGGGGGGAAGTGACGCTATTTCCTCTGGAGGAATTTGACCCGCAGTTGGACAATCACACCTTTTGAAGCTGCGGATGCAGTCCATCAGTGCACGATCAGATGCAACTGCAGGTGAGTTGTTTCTGTGTGTGTGTGTGCCATTTTTCCCCATGTGCTTAACCTCTGCACCAAGGGCTCCCTATGGAGTTTGCGATGATGTGCATACTGCAAAGGGGGGGGGGGGACAACGGCACAGAGTTGGGATGCCCTGATCAGACCATCCCAATGCCATGAGAGCGTACTGGAGCGATCAGACATGGGAAAGTCTGTCTGTGGCCCGTCGCAACCTATTAACTACCGGATTTTCCCCGGTGTCTTTTAACTTTGCTTCTGTGGCAGAGCAGAACGGGTTGCCGACAGCTGCAGGGTGCTTCCCAGATGTTGTCTGATCGTGCCCTTTAAATCTGCCCAGCATTCACACCTATGTTGGGTCTAATTGTGCGTATGATCGCAGCCATCCTGAAGAAATAAAAGAGACCCAACAGTGCTTATGAGTCCAGGGCTTCTAGCAATACACAGGAACCTTGATATGCAGTTCAAACTTGATGCTATCTGCAAAGCCTGTGCAGTTCACAGCCAGATGGGAACTGAGATAATTCACTCTTAGTCATTATAATTAATTACTATATCTAATAGTAAAGTGGGTGGCTCCTGCCAGTCACAAAAACAGCACAACTTGGCTATCTGCAGACAAGGGAACAGCTCCTAAATACTCAAAGGACTCTCCAGATATGCAGAAGAATGTGCCTTTGTAAATTTACCTGGAAAAAACCACACACACCCAAAATGGACTGTTCATGCTCTAGGACAGTGGTTGTACTATGGGGTGGGGATACAGAACTAGTCTAGGGAGGCTGCAGGAGTTTTAAAACAATCCGTTGCTAAGAATCCACTCATCCTCAATCCCCATGTCCACCTGCAAGGGGAACCTGCCATCACCTGCAGACCCTACCTATCACAGATTATTTGTCTGTGATATTTGGGTATGCCAGTAGAAACCCTGGATACTCAGGTGTTTCTCCTAATACCCCTGTTCTCCATGTCCACTAGCAAGTGTCTTTGATGTGCCACTTCCTGCTGGTCCTCCATGCCAGGGATTATCTATTGTGCTTCTACAATTGTTAATGTTCTTAGAACAGAATGCCTGTAACATATAAATGTCCTTCTTGGAAAAAGCTGACTTTTTGTTTCTGTCATGGTGGGACCCAGGTTCTTTGACAGAGTGATTGATGGGATGTAAGATATGAAAGCCTGAGAACCACTAGTGGGTGTGTGAATGTAAAGTGCTGTCAGGTGGCTTCCAACTTATGATAGTTTTATCAGTTAATGACCTCCAAAACATCCTCTCATTGACAGCCCTGCTCAGATCTTGCAGACTGAGGGTTGTGGCTTTCTTGATTGAGTCAAACTGTCTCATTTTGGGCTTCCTCTTTTCCTGCTGCCTTCAACTTTTACTAGTATGATTGCTCTAGAAAAGAGAAAACGTAGAGAGCACTTGGGAATCAGTTAAATGGTAATGGGATACAGAGGCAGATAGGAAAATTGGACATTCCCTCCCTGCAATTCCTCACAAGGTTCCAGGTTGACCTTTCTAATACCAGGGTTTAAAATTGACTGCCTATTGGAAAGGCAGGAAAAATGGACAAAGTTGGAGTTCATGTAAACTTGGGGAAGAAGGAGGAGTAGGAGTTGGTTTTTATACCCCACCCTTCACTACCCGAAGGAGTCTCAAAGTCGCCTTCCCTTCCTCCCCCCAAAACCCTGTGAAGTAGGTGGGGCTGAGAGAGCGCTGAGAGAACTGTGACTGACCCAAGGTCACCCAGCTGGCTTCATGTGGAGGAGTGGGGAATCAGACTCGGTTCTTCAGATTAGAGTCTGCTGCTCTTAACCACTACACCAAGCTGATTTCCCTGCTCCCCCTCCCCCACAATTAGTTTGAGGAGAATTGAGCACACTCCCTGCCCTCTAGGAGGCATGGCATGGTGAGGACAATCAATCAAAGAGAGAGACATGGAAGAGGGAAGAACAATTGGCTTGCTCCAGCCCCTGAGAGTGCTTGGTACCATGAACTGAGAGATTTGGGCCAGCAGGAGGGAACTCCCCAATCATTTAACCCCATACCCAAACATCTCAAGGCCCCACACTTGTTCTATTTATATTTCAACTGTCTTTCACAGAACTCAGAGAAGCATAGATCAAGATCCCAAGCAGTCTCCCATTCAGACACAGACCAGATCTAGACCTGCTTAGCTTCAACTAGGCTTCCATGCTAGAGCAGATGTTAACTGAGAGATATGCCACAACCCAATGTGACATCTGGTGCAGGCTGATTGTCGCCTGAACTCTGGCACAGCACAGGGAAATGGCAGCATTGCAATAAGACACACACCTGCACTTGATCCAGGGAACTGCCCCCCATGGCATAAATCAACGGGCATCTGCTTTCTCAGCCCTTCTACCCCCCACAGCTGGTTGACAAGTGGGGTGGAAACAGCCTTTGGCCGCTGCTGAGCTGTTTTGAACAATTTGCTCTCATTTTTGTCATTATGTTAACAAGGATTTTCAATTTGCAAAATACAGAGGGGAGACAGCTATAATTAGAAGCAACAAAAATAGCCAGGGAGGATGATGTCGAGAATCCCCAATGTGGCAAAAGCAGCTTTCAGCTGAAATATTTCGTATTAGGCATTCAAACTTGAATTGTGTGCTCTCATCTGATCCTGGAAGGGATGAGAGTAGGAATGAAGCTTCCCCTGGTCATTCGTTCTTTCCTGATGTCTCTTGACCACCAACAGACTTCCACACATCCCTCTACACCAAGCCATGAATGGAATTTTCTGAATGATCCATCATGTGGGTGCAATAGAACCTCACTTCATCACAGCAGATAGGCATTTGTGTTAGTTCATTGAGAAACAGAAGTCCCAAAGTAATGGTAAGGTGATACTATTCTTGGGGCTGCCTGTTTTGTGTAGTGGTTAGGAGTGCAGACTCTAATCTGAGAGAATGGGATTTGATTAGTCACTCCTCCACATGCAGCTGCTAGTATGACCTTGGGTCCACTACAAGTGCTTTCAGAGCTGTTCTCTCAGAAGCAGTTCTTGAAAGAGCTCTCTCAGCCCCACGTACCTCACAGGGTGTCTGTTGTGGGAAGGGGAAGGAGTTTGTAAGCTGCTCTGAGACACCTTCAGGCAGTGAATGGTGGAGTATAAATCCAATCTCCTCCTCTTGCTCCTCCTCCTCCTGTCACAAAACGGCAAGCAAGTTTTGGAATGTCCCAAATTCTTCTTCTGTTTTGATGTCAAATTAAAAAAGATAGGGGCAGAGCGGTCAACAGAAGGTCAGCATGGTCGGGCAACTGCCAAGGCCATCAGCCCAGGAGAGGAAGCAATGCTACCTGGAGATACTTCACCCATCTACATCCACAAGGAAATAAAAGATTGCTCCAGAGGTTACCTGGAATCTCTGGGGCAATCTCCTCTTTCCTGCTGGAAGAAATGGGGATGGCATGCAATTCTCCTGCACTCCTTTGAGACTTTGGTGCTAGTAGGTCTCAAAGGAGCATGGAAATATGAGTGAAATGCTCCTACTCCCATGAGGAAATGGAAGACTGTACCAGGGGATCCCATTTTTTTGGTCAGAGTTATGCTGGTGGGAACCAGCATGGTATACTGGTTTTAGAGTATCAGGTTAAGATCTCAGAAGCCCAGGATCAAATCCCCATATGGCCATGGAAGTTTGCTGGGTGACCTTGGGCCAGTCCCTCTCTTTTAGCGTAAGCTACCTCACAGGTTGATTGTTGTGAGGATAACCTGCAGGAGGGGAGAATGATGTTGTGAGACATTTTGGGTCCCCACCGAGGACAAAAATGGGGTATGAATATCTAAACAAATAAAACACAGGTGAAGAGTCAGTCCTGACTTTTCTCCAATTCACTGGAGTAGGAGGTGCATCAGTAAAATGCCAGCATCACAAGGGAGCATCCATGCAGAAACTGCTTCCTCTGTTGTAGTAGGATGCTTTGCCTTGAACACCCCCACACACTGTCAGCTAGGCTGCCATAAGGTTTATGGGTTTCAGCTCACTCGCTTGACCTGTGTACCAGCCAGACCTTGCTTGTGTAGTGTCTTCCCATATTTTACCCATGGGACTACTTTCGTTTCCTCACCTACGCTCCAACGGTTCTTCCCGCCTGCGGGAGAGTGCCTATTTGGCCCACTGATGGGGGGGGGCTTTTGAGTGTCCTATATCTATACCTGTATGCTTAGTACTCGTTATTCCTAACAGTGAATATGTTTATGCTACCATAGTTCTCACAATAAAGTAAAACCTTCTTGGAAGTGTGTGCTGAAGTGCTTGACTGTGGGTCCTGACACACACTTTGCGATTGGCCCCAGTACCCCACAATGGTTGGTCCCTGCTCCCGGAGCAGCCATTTGTTAGTTACACCTGCTCCTTATTCTCAGAATTTCAAAACTATTCACAAGTTCAACAATAGTGGGGACCCATGTAGCTCTCTTTAACAGAATAAGATCATGTCTGGTGTAGGTTGAATCAAAGTCTACTGGGGAAAAGGAACAACTGGCTCTTCTTCAGTGGCTCCTATTTGTTCATAACAGCTGGAGCAAAATGTAACCTGGTCAGCCTGGCCACAGAACAGTGGATGTCTCCCTTTCCAACAGAACAGCTGCTTAAGCATACACAAACTTTACTGGGTGGGAAGAACCAGGACTATAGAACTAGGAGTTTTTAAACAACACACTGTTCACATTAAAGTATAATGAACAGTCTGAAATCCAGGAAAAGGGAATGATTAAATCTTGGCCTCTCAGGACACCACCTCACAAGCTCCAGAAATGTCTGTATGCTGGGCAAACATCTTTTCCTCACAGTACCAGAACAAAAAGGCCCTCATTACAAGATGGCCACCCTTCTGCCAACTGCCCTTCACACCACTTCGCAGGCTGTCTTCTCTGGAACACCTCCTTCCACAGAAATACCCCAACTCCCTCCAGAAGAACACCTCAAGCTTTCTCTTCAGGAACCAGTTTTCTCCAACTGCCATCCACCTGAATCAAGAGCTCTCAGCCTCTTCAACGTGTAGGGGTGGCCAACAAGACAGCACCAGGGGTCCACTGTGAAATGGCTTTGACTGACACCATTTGCTGTCCTCTCACCTTCCTTACACAGAGCAGCAGGAGAGGAGGAGACCTCTTTACAGACAGAAAGAATAGTTGCAATCTAAAGTCCTTGAGATGACGTTCACCAGGTCATGGCTTGTATTTAAATATGTGTTCATGAATGGTTTATAAGGGGATTCATAAATCGTGAGCAGATGTTATGGGCATGTTACCAATATTAGGAACATGTGTTAGCAGACTTTTTTTTAAGGCACATAAAGAAACTGTGTACTAGACAGCTATTCTATTCTAGGACTCCTCCCCATCAAAGGATGATGATTACAGGTTTCTAAAAATGCATCCAATGCTTAAAAGTATTTAGGTATATGCATCTCAATTAAATTATGGATGAGAGCTGTTAATAAAATAATGGAAGAGGGAGCTAAACCCACAGAGCTCTTACTGCAGATATTTAATGACTGGTAAAGTAAATCAGACCTCAGACTCTACCTTTACTGGATCAGGGCTCAGAGAAGAAAAGGAATTTTTATTTTGTTTATTTAGATATTTATGCCCCATCTCTCTCACCAATGGGGACCCACAGTGGCTTTCCTTATCAATCTCCCTCCTCCATTTTATCCTCATACCAGCCTTGAGAGGTGGGTTTGGCTGAGAGTGCACAACTGGCCCAAGGTCATCCATTAAGACGCCACGGCAGTGTGGGGATTCAAACCTGGGTTTCCCAGATCCTAGTCCTGCACTCCATCCGCTACACCACACTGGGTCTCAAAGAGACTCTATTCAGACAATCCTCTAAATCAGACTGCCATTGTGGAGGTTGTGAAAAACCCACAGTAGGGCTGGTTTTATAATGGCAGGTTGCCTCCTGTGGCAGATTTGGGGTGGGTGTCCTGCCTGTTATGAGCCAGATGCCCACCTGGCACCTTGCCCTTTACCCAAGTGCTACCAGTGTTTAGGAGCTGGAGAAGATAATCCTCCTTACAACTATATCCCCCACGGCTTCTTGAACATAGCAGAGCAAGCCATGTATGAATTCTCGCAAGACTCTTCCTTTCAAGAGTACAACACAACATTTGGGGTTGGATCTAGACTAAATTTTCCACGAACAAAAGGAAAGGTGTAATTTCTATCAATTTCCCCTTCCTGCTGCAGACCCCCAGTTTGCCCCTATACTTTTCTTGAGGGGCTCCATTCCCACAATGTCTATTTTGACACCCCCTTTCTGTTCCATGCACCTCAGCATTTAGTCAGGCTGGCCACATGACCATCTTTGGACAGCGCTGGCTCTTCGGCTTGGAAACGGAGATGAGCACCGCCCCCTAGAGTGGTATTTGACTGGCTTTCGAGCAAGGGAAACCTTTACGTTTACTTCTGCGCTTCTTACCCCTCTTTAAATGCTCTGTCTCACTTTGAATGTTCAACATGTAAGGCAGGAGTCCCCAGTGTGGTCCCCTTTGGTGCCACGGTGATCACCAATACCTTTCCTGGAGCCTGCTAAGTGTTTTTAGAAAGCGGGGCCGGGTGGGACTCTCGCCTAACAGGCTTTCTGACTGGCTGTGCAGATCTTTACAAAGCACTGCTATGGAAGCAGCTGCAGCCACAGCAAAAGGACCTTCACTGTGTGATTAAAGGTAAGCTGTGGCAGCCATTTTGTGGCTGGCCCTGAATTTTGTGGCAGACTTTTTATGGCAGCCATTTTGCTGCTGTGCCCACCACACTGTGTCAGAATTGCAAAGATGCCTGCAGGTTGAAAAGGGTTGGGGTCCTGACATAGGGCAACCTCTCTCACGCAATTCACTGTCTCAGAACTGACTTTAATGTAGGAGCTCAAATTCTGTGATGTGTAAAAACTGAAACTGGAGCCATTGCATGACTCTTTCTCTGAAAATGTCAAGGGCTCCATACTTTCATGCTGATACACACAATCTCCTGCGGTAAGCCATTCAGCTTTGTCAACAGCATGTACACCTGATAGAAATGCAACCCATATGCAAAGGGCGACACACCAACCAACTCTGAGGAATTCCCTAGCAGCGAGATGGGGGCATAATAAAATTATTGCTTTTGCAAACGGAACCAAAACTAGAGTCAAATCCATCTTCCATGGCTTCGACAGCCTAAGATGTTAGCAAAACAAAACTCAAGTGTATTTTTTTTTCAGGCACAGCAGAGTTTTGAGGCATTCTGATGCCCAGAAATGAAAGGAAGGAATTGATTTTTCTTTGTTTTTCCAAAAGCTTTCGTCTCAGACACTTACAGGTTGGCAAGTGATCCTGTCTCCCTTTGGTCTTGTCTTTCTTCTTTGAAGCATCCCAGCCTTCAAAGAAACTCTAGGAGAAACAGAAGTCTATTATCTACACACAGAACACTTTGGGGAATGAACAAACACCAAATCCCACTTTGAAAGCACGGATACCCAGCACTGCTTTAGGGGCTAGTACTTTCTCAGGGCACTTATAGATGTACCCTGTTCCCACTGAATTATCCATTATAGGAAGGACAATCATCCTTTGGGAAGACAGGAAGGTTGCTACGTAAGAAGAAACAATAGCCCTGACCTGGATAGCCCAGGCAAGCCCGATCTTGTCAGATCTTGGAAGCTAAGCAGGGCCAACCCTGGCAAGTATTGGATGGGAGACCTCCAAATACCAGGGCTGTGATGCAGAGGCAGGCAATAGCAAGCCACCTCTCTGAAAGTCCCTTGCCTCCAAGCCCCACTAGGGGTTGCCAGAAGTCAGCTGTTACTTACACACACACACACAAAATACCAAAAAAGAAGAAACAATACATGGAAGTATACGCAGACAGTCAAGAATGCAACACCTATATTGAGGCTTGCTGATCAGTTTTTACATCTGGCATCTGTAGGATCTGTTATTAAGGTAGATTGTTTCAGGTGACTAGCAGCGTTGGTCTGCAGTACAAGAACAATATCTGAGTCCAGTAACACCTTAAAGACCAACAAAATTTTCAAGATTCAAGTTTTAAAGAGTAAAAACTCCCTTCATATCTGATGGAAGGAACTTTGACTCTCAAAAGCTTACACCATGAAAATCGTGCAGTCTTTAAGGTGCCACTGGACTTGAATCTTGCTAAGTGGAGACTATGATTACATTATCAAAAGCAAGTTCTAGCCCACATGATCCTAGAGGAAAGTTGGTAAAGACATGCACTAGATTGGTTGAAGACTAAAAAGGCAAAAGGTGTTTATCAATAAGACTTTCCCACCACATACGCGGGGGCTAGGAAACCCTTTCAACAAGGGAGAGGATCGACCAGTCCCCAGAGAATCGGTTCAAATCTGAAGGAATTCCTTGGCAAAGAACAGATGGAAAAGGTACTGCTGAGGACTTCATAATACATAGTGATGTCTCTGTTTGGGACTTTGGGAACAACTGTTCATTGCTTATTTATTTTGATCACTTCTCTCCTGCATCTTTTAACCAAAATTAGTTCTTTGGGTGGTTTATAAGTGAAGTAAAATGCAGTATATTTCTTTTATGAAGCTTTCTGCTACACCTGCAGCTTTGGGAATAAGAACATTATGTTTGTAGCACAGAAATTTCTCATTTGAAACAGATGAATTTGTTTCACTTATATACCACTTATATATTATATTTCACTGATATACCACTTTTAGATGTGTTGACAATCGTAGCCCATTCCCCATGCTAGAATGCTTCTGATCTAGAATTACTGCAATCTCATTTAAAATTAAAAACTATTCTACACAGTCATAAATAGCAGGCCATATTTTAGGCAGTTCCAGCAAAAGGCTTGGGGAAACAGAAAGTATTTGGTTTAGTTCTTGAATTAGGCAATTTGAGGGAGGTACATGAGACTCTAAACCCTGCACCAGTGCCTGGAGATAGTTTTGGAGTGGATCCGGGCTAAGTACTATTGGTGAGCAGAATGTCTGACCCAGGATTTAAGGTACCACCCATTCTGGATGGGGTTGCGCTCCCCTCAAAGGAACAGGTCTGTACTCTGGGGGTGCTCTTGGACCTGGGCCTACTGCTGGATAGGTGGGGGCAGCTGTGTGGCCAGGAAGGTCTTTTACCAGCTTTGCTTGGTCAGCCAGCTGCTGTCTTTCCAAGGCAGGAAAGATCTGGCCACTGTGATTGCATGCCCTTAATCTAGATTAGATTACTGCAATGTGTTCTATATGGTATGCCCTTGAAAAAATCTTAAAATCCTTCTAATGGTGCAGAATGCTGCAATCAAGATGTTGACTGGAGTGGGTCATAGGGACTACATCACTCCAGTCTTGGCTCATCTGCATTGGTTTCCAGTTTGTTTCTGGGCACAATTCAAGGTGTTGGTTGTGACCTTCAAAGCCTTATATGGTTTGGGACCCACATATCTGAAAGACCACCTACTCCCTTATGGACCTACCCAACTACTGTGGCCATCTTCAGAGGTCCTGCTTCCAGTGCCCACCTTCTGAGATTAGGTGGCTGGCAACCCAGGAAAGGACCTTCTCAGCAGTGTCACCAAAACTCTAGAACCCAGTCCCCAGGGAGATTCTCCTGTCCCCTTCTGTTGTCATCTTCTGCCAGCAAGCGAAGACTTTTTTGTTTTGCTTGGCACTCCCCAACCGATCCTTCCTTCCTCCCCAATGTTGTACCTGTTGTTTTTACCTTTTGTACTTATCTTAAACTTTGGTTTAAACTTGTTTTAATGATGTGTTTGTCTTAATTGCTTTTAAGATAATATTTTAATGTTTATGTTTTAATTTGTTAGCCACCACCAGGGGTAGAATGGCAGGGTGACAATCTTAGGGAGGGAGGGAGACAGTTCCACAGATCTGGGAGGAGGTGTTCCTTTGATTACTCTGGGCTCAGTTAGTATAGGGATTGGGAGTGGATCACCGAGATCTGTTCTACTTCCTCAGGGGAGCAGCCGTATTTTACTCACCATGGAACTACCTCTTTGACAAGACAATGGAAAGCACTTTGAGCTATCTCGGTTTTCCTTATATAGGACCAGCTTCTCCCATATCAACCTGCTCAGACCCTGAGATCAATGGGTCAGGCCTCACTGTATTGTTCACAGTGAAACTGATGGGCACCGGTGTTGGTTTGGTTTTTTGCTTGCTCCCCTAGTCTGGTGCACACCTTCTCTCAAGAGGTAAATCTGTAGTTGCAGACTGGTAGGCCTCAACCCCCTCCTCACTTGGAAGGATGAGCTTAGTGCCTATAAACAGGTGACACAAGCAATCTTCTCTCTCTTAGCATCTCACAGGGTCACTCATTCAAGACTCATCCCTGGTCTGCAAATAAGAGATCAAAATAGATCCTATAATCAAACAGAATGTGTGTCATCGAATATTGACCAGAGGCCTGTCTGAAAAACTGATCCTAAAGGTGCAAAGGTGTGGTTTTTGGCAGTTCCCTCTTTAAATCCATCAATGTCAAAGACTGATTTCTCAAAAAGGACAGTAAATCTAACCAACTCCCTACCTTGCCTGACCTTTCCCTAACTGGCCATCCTTAGTAAAAACCTAGTAAAACCATTTTAATCCCATAATTCTTTGTGTAATAGTTATCTTGTCCTGGCAATTAGAGGTCACCAAACACAATAGACATTTCACATAAATGTTGCAATTCCCAGGAAAGTTATGAATCTTCCTGGTTCAGACAACATTGTTTCATTCACACCATCACAGCATTGTTCTAGGAGCAATCACGTCATGCTCCAAGGGATATAACCAGACACACTTTGTTTGGTAATATGTGTCTGTATCTGGATGTCCACTAACTTAAACCCCCAATGCAAAAGTTGGGTACCCTGCTTGGAATGAGACGATGGTGTTTTTTTTTTTCATCCTCCTTCTTGGATCTTTGTTCCTTGGAAAGGTAAATATAGTCCCACAGAATAAGTTCCCTTCTTTGTCTCCATATGCTACCACCTTTATTTTCTGAACTTGTATGTGTGTTCATAGGCCCCTGCCACACGGGGGGGTGGGGGGGAGAAAGCACGGCCAAAGTGTGGCTTTTTAGAGCCGCACCAAAAGAGACATGCGGCGGCGGGATCACATAGATCCCCTGAGCCGCCGCACAGTTGCTCCCCGGCACGATCAGATGCCGGGGGGAAGCCACTGAAGGGAGAGCGAGGCAGCCGAACTGCGCATGTGTGCGCATGAGCAGTTCGGCCGGGAGCCTGGATTGCTCCTGAAGACAGGCGCTCCGGCGCTCCGACGGCTGTGCTTGCTGTGGCGTTGCAGGTAAGTCCTGCTCTTTAGCAGGTTCTTTTTTCATCCGCATTACTGGCCTGAAGGGATGGATCGGGGACGGGTACACGCCGATTCCCAGATGTTGCGGTATGCTCACGCCCGTTTGCTGCGCCCCCGATCCGTCCCTCTTCCGGGCCAAAACCTCCCATGTGACCAGGGCCATAGAGTGCTTTCAGTTAATAAGTTTTGATTTTATTCTTTAATTCTCTTTAATAAAAACAGTTTCATTAATCACGGCCTGGTTCATTTTGAGAGTTCTACTGAGGGAAAAATCCCCGTAAACATAGGTGGAGATCCTGCTTAATTACCCCCTCATGCATTGTTTGGGTTTCCTGGCTAATTCCCCAGCAAACTCAAGAAACCCTGACAAGCACTTAGAGTAACAAGACCTTCCAGCGAAAACACATACATGTTCTAGAAGGCCTTAGATCTGACAGACTCAGTACCAAATTGCAACTTCCTATTATCTTATATACTGTGAATTATGTTAGGATGATGTTTGAATGAAGATTTAATGTTGTATTTTTTAAACAATTCTTAGTAGTCTCCTGGGGGTGTGCGCAAATGGAGCTGAAAGGTGGAGTACAAATCACCAAAGTGAACAAAACAAACACATTAATACAGTTCACAAAAGGCTCATTTTCAAATGGATTCATTCCTCTACATCTATATATCAGAGGCTTCCAAAAACGTCTTATTTTTCCATTGGATTACGAATTGGTTTTTTTTTTATTCTTTTCTTTTTTCTTCTCTACAATCCATTCTTTCCCTTTTTATTCCACAGAGCAGAGTCGGTGTGAAATAGCAGCAACACCCGCTGCTAAGAGTGCACACAAGAGGGAAAGTGGAAGAAAATGATATGTTTTCTCCCTCGTTCCTAATATCCAAGTGCTTTTCAAATGCCTGTTTTTTTGGAACGTGTACAACAGCTTTTCAAGGTGCCCTAATTATTGTAACTAACCCAGGTTTGTCAAATTCATAATATTGGAGAAGAGAGGCTCAGACATCAGAAACAATGGAAGACGAGACAGTAATTTCAGGGTGGGGAGAGGGGGGTGATTTCAATAGGCAGTCCTGTGGGACACTGAGCTGGATTGTTATGACAGCCGCACAAAGCAAAGGCACTGTGACTGGTCAATTTTGATATGGGAGAAGAGCTGATGCAATGGCTCAGGGACACAATGTCCTTTCGACAGAACAAGCAGAAGCCTCGCCCAGTGAATTCTCAGGCTCAGCCCCTGTCCTGGGCTCCAAGCCACAGCACAAGAATCTCAGAACATGGCTTGCCTTGCAGCCCCTTTGCAAGACTTAGAACATCATGAACCAGTTCTCCTGGCAAGGCGGGATACAAATGGAAAATAATAAATAATTTTAATAATAATTTTAATAATTATTATTTTAATGATCATGGTGATGAGGATGATGATGAGGAGGAGGAGAAGAAGAAGAAGTGACCCAGTGGAACATCTCAGCTACCAGACAGGGATTCTGTTAGGTGTGTGTGTTTTGCATGCTGTCAAAGTGATTCCAACTTATTGTGACCCTATGGATTAATGACTGCCAAAACATCCGGTTGTCAACAGCCTTGACCAGGTCTTGCAAACTGAAGACCGTGGCTTTGCTGAGTCAATCCATCTCATGTTGGATCTTCCTATTTTCCTACTGCCTCCAACTTTTCCTAGCAATATTATCTTTTTCAGTGAGTCTTGTCTTCCAGTAGGTAGGACCGCACAAAGCAGTCTATAAGCTGCCTTGAGTGGGTCATTCACTAGAATGATGGCTGTATGAATGGACATACCTTGTAATACCAAGTCAGATCATTGACTGTCCTAGCTAAGTATTGTGTACTCTGATAGGCACTGGTTCTCCAGGATCTCTGAAATTCTCAGGGTGCTGGACTGATCACACAGCCCTGGGTTTATGTATTTATTTTATTTATTTTGGGATTTTTATTCTGCCCTCCCCAAAATGGGCTCAGGGTGGATCACAACAAATCGAGTCAAAGACTCATTACAATCATCACATTAAAATAATTAAAACAATAAACAATAAAATTGGTAGCAACAATATACTGGGGAAAGAGAAGGTTGTGTGCTGGGGAAAGAGAAGGAGCTCAGCAATAGAGGATTCACCATCTTTGCATGCAGAAGATCTCCTGTTCAACCCCTGGAATCTTGGACACCAAGTACTGAGTAAAGACCTATCTTTACTGGAGATCCCAGAGAACTACCAGTCAAAGTACAGCTCAATTGGACCATGGCTCAGCAGAGGAATGTCTACTTTGCCTCCACAAAGTCCCAAGTTGATTTTCTATCATCTCTGGTTAAAGGAGCTTCAGATAGCAGCCCACTCTCCTGAAGCCCTGGAGGGCCACTAACAATAGGAATAGGCAATATTAAGCACAGAGGTACAAATGGTTTGACAACTTCATAAGATAGCTTTATATGTTCCTAAACTGGACACCACACTTCTGTTGTCTGTTCCTGCTGTGAGTATATGGTATAGGATGGAATACAGGATGACAGATGACAAACTCACCACATGACATAGAAAACAATTACAGGGGATTAAGAACTAAGCTCTCACCTCATACTCCTGCTTGAATCCGTAGCCTTCTGCAGTCTTCATCTGGTTGATGTGCTGAAGAAGATCAGCTACTCGGACAGCAGGGTGGAGCTGTCCAGTGTGATAGGGGGAGCCTTTGCGTCCACACTGTCGCCGTGGTGAGCCCCCTAACAAGCTGCTAGATTCATTGACTACACTGCTGCGCTGGTCTGCTGGGAATAATGAGACAGGAAAAGCAGGAGAGTGATTAAAATAAAGAGAGAAAATAAAAGAATAGAACAAGTCAACTGAAAGTTGTTGTTAACCATGACTTTCTAAAGTGTAGAGTGGGACTGATCAAAGAAACAGGAAAACATGTGTTGTTCACTCCTGAGTCCTTGAGACATGACAGTAGTTGACTGCTGCCTGAAAAGGAGCTTATACTGCTGCAAAACTGCTGTAAAGCTGCCACCAAACATAACTGCTGCAAAATGCAGTAAGAGAGAATACAGATCACTTCCTCTACATTTCTACAACGTTGCTGGCAAATCTCCCTCAAACAGCAGTGTGAAAACTTTTCACATGGTGGAAAGATTCATACAGCATGCCATTCTTTGTTGTCCAGCTGCCACATTTTGGTGGCTATTCCCAGCAGCTTCTGTATATTGGATGTAAAGTGTGAAGCAGCCTTGAGCTGGGGGGAAAAACCTGGCACGCTCTGTAAATGACAAACAATAACATCCCAAGCTAAGCTGATTTGAACTGGATTAAACACAAAGTGAGGAGCTGTGGGAATAATGTGCTGTGGTTTGGGGTTAATTAAATTCCAGACTTGGCCGTTCCATTTAATAGCTAGTTAGGTGTCAAACTCAAACTCTGTCACCTGTTCTGAACATTTCCCAGGTGCCTGGAAGGTAGACTCATTGAGCACCACTGGATTCACGTCTAAATAAATATGTACACAATGAAACTGAGTGGACACTTTCTCTTCCTAGGGTGAGTTTCTTCTAATTCACTCATCCCCTCTAATTGGTTTGCAGTGTTCTGTTATCATACGCTGTCCAACAGCTGCTCCCAGCAGGGGCTACAATGTAGTACTGTAAAAACTAACTCCTCTGGAGGAGCCTAGGGTAGGCAGATTGCTTTAGATCAGGGGTCTCCAACCTTTTGGAGCCTACAGGCACATTTGGACTTCTGACACAGTGTGGTGGGCACAGCCACAAAACGGTTGCCACAGAATGGTTGCCAAAAGAGGTGGAGATAGTACAAAATGGTCACGGCAGCTAACATTCAGTCACACAGTGGTGGCAGCTGATGCAAAAGTAATGTTTTAAAAAATCTGTACAGCCAATCACATCTACAGTGGCCGCTCAGAAGCCTTGCTGGGCAAAAGCCCCACCTGGCCTCACTCACTTTCTAGAAACATTTGGCGAGCACCACATTGAGCACCCATGGGCACCATGTTCGGGATCCATGCTTAAGATGAAGTACTTTACCTGTTCCAGTCCTTGGGTTTGCAATGTGTTCCAACCTCCTCTAATTCTGAATGAATTAGGAGAACTTCTAAAATTGACCTGAGCATATGCAGCAGCTTTCAAATCTCTCTCCCCTCCCATGTTACAGGTAAACACATGCACATAATCTACTATTTAAAAAAGCAATGTTGCATCTCCTTCAAGACTGATTTTAATAATACCAACGTATACATGCACTCTAGTAAAAAAAATCTTGATGCAGCTGCATCCAAGATCATATCAATGCTGACAGGAGATGAAAAGTCTCTGGTTCAGGTTGGCTCATCTCAGAGAGATTAGGGGGTGCCTGTTGCTTTTTTGCAGGGAGGTGGATTGAAATTGTCCACTGAGACCATGGCTAGTGACATGGACTGCCTGACAAGGTCTCGAGATAGCAAGAGGAAGGTTGCAGGCTTAACTTGTATGGGAAATTACAGCTATTTCTATATAAATGCTAGAAGTGTCCGAGGTGAAATCGGGGAGTTGGAGTGCTTGGTGTTGGAGGGAAAAATAGACATTGTGGGTATTTCAGAAACTTGGTGGGATGAGGAAAATCAGTGGGATACGGTGATTCCCGGTTATATATTATATCGGAAGGATAGGGGGGGAAGGGTTGGAAGTGGGGTGGCTCTGTATGTCAAAGAGGGTATAAAGTCCAGAAAGATTGAGAGGCTAAGAGAATTGGATTCACTTCTGGAAATTCTATGCGTTGAAATAGAGGGTCCAAAAGGAAACTTCACTGGGAGTTTATCATCACCCACCAGATCAAAAGATAGAGGAGGATTATAAAATGATTAATGAATTAAAGATAGCAGCTAGACAAAAACGCTGTGTCATAATAGGTGATTTTAACTACCCACACATTGATTGGGTCAATATGTGTTCTAGTCGAGAGAAAGAGAATGAGTTTCTAGACACTCTAAATGACTGTGCTATGGAGCAGATGGTCACGGAACCTACCAGGGGAGAGGCGATCCTTGATTTGGTCCTAAGTAACACTCAAGACCTGGTGAGAGATGTAAAAGTGATTGCACCGCTTGGGAACAGTGATCATAATGTTGTTGAGTTCAACATTTGTACAAATAGAGAATTGGCCAAAAAGACTCACACAACCACTTTTAACTTTAAAAGGGGTAACTTCTCTGATATGAGAGGACATGTGGGGAGGAAACTGAAAGGAAAAGTAGAAAGGGTCAAAACAATTGGGGAAGCTTGGAAACTATTTAAAACTACGATTCTAGAAGCTCAAAAAAAATATATTCCGCAGGTTAGGAAAGGCACAAAAAGGTATAGGAAAAAGCCTGCATGGTTAACAAACAGAGTAATGGAGGCTGTAAAAAGTAAAAAGAATTCCTTTAAGCAGTGGAAAGCTAGTCACAGTGAGGCTGATAAAACGGAACACAGGCTATGGCAAATAAAATGCAAGTCTGAGGTCAGGCAGGCAAAAAGGGAATATGAGGAGCATATAGCAAAAAACGTAAAAACCAACAATAAAACTTTCTTCAAATACATTAGAAACAGGAAACCAGCCAGGGAGGCAGTGGGGCCCTTGGACGACCAAGGGGTAAAAGGAGTATTGAAGGATGATAGGGAAATGGCTGAGAAGCTAAATGCATTTTTTGCCTCCGTCTTCACTGTGGAAGATGAGAAGTGCTTGCCCACTCCAGAACCACTGATTTCAGGAGGGGTGTTGAAAGACCTGAGTCAGATTGAGGTGACGAGAGAGGAGGTCCTAAAACTGATAGACAACTTAAAAACTGAAAAATCACCAGGCCCAGATGGCATACATCCGAGAGTTCTGAAAGAACTCAAATGTGAACTTGTAGATCTCCTGACAAAGATATGTAATCTTTCCTTAAAATCTGCCTCCATTCCTGAGGATTGGAAGGTAGCTAATGTCACTCCCATCTTTAAAAAGGGTTCCAGAGGAGATCCGGGAAATTACAGGCCAGTCAGTCTGACGTCGATACCGGGTAAATTGGTGGAAACCATTATTAAGGAAAGAATTAGTAGGCACATAGATGAACAAAACCTATTGAGGCAGACTCAGCACGGTTTCTGTAAGGGAAGATCTTGTCTCACTAACCTGTTAGTGTTCTTTGAGGGGGTGAACAAACATGTGGACAAGGGGGATCCAATAGATATTATTTACCTTGACTTCCAGAAAGCTTTTGATAAAGTTCCTCATCAAAGGCTCCTAAGTAAGCTCAAAAATCATGGGATAGAAGGACAAGTCCTTTTATGGATCAAAAACTGGCTAGTTCATAGAAAACAGAGAGTGAGTGTAGGTGGGCAATTTTCTCAGTGGAGGGTGGTAAGCAGTGGGGTACCGCAGGGATCAGTACTTGGTCCACTGCTTTTTAACTTGTTCATTAATGATTTGGAGATGGGAGTAAGCAGTGAAGTGGTCTGGGGTAGTGATGCTCTGTATCGTTGGTGCTTGGAGGGCAACAGTGGGAGATCTTCTGGAGAACTTCTGGCCCTGCTGATGGTACCTGGGTTTTGGCCACAGGGTGACTCAGAGTGTTGGACTGGATGGGCCACTGACCTGATCCAACATGTCTTACCTTATGTTCTTATGTCTGGGGCAGTGATGCTTTGTATTCTCGGTGCTTGGGGGGCAACAGGGGGAGGGCTTCCAGAGTTCTGGCCCCACTGGTGGACCTCCCGATGGCACCTGGGTTTTGGCCACTGTGTGAAACAGAATGTTGGACCGGATGGCCATTGGCTTGATCACACCTGGCTTCTCTTGTGTTCTCAGGACTTCTCCCTGTGGGTCGGTCTTCGGGTTTCACGGAGGCTTTCTTTGCCAGGCTTTGTGTTCAATCCATTTTAAAGGGTCTGGTTTAGCAGGAGAATTGGCATGATGTCAGAAGCTTTGAAACCAGTTTCCCCAATTTCCTCAATAGGAAGGGTATTGAAAACAGATCAGCCAATATCATAATGCCCCTATATAAATCAATGGTGTGACCTCATTTGGAATACTGTGTGCAGTTCTGGTCACCACACCTTAAAAAGGATATTATAGCTTTAGAAAAAGTGCAGAGAAGGGCAACTCGAATGATAAAAGGGTTGAACACTTTCCCTATGAGGAAAGGTTAAAGCGCTTAGGGATCTTTAGCTTGGAGAAACGACGACTGAGGGGAGACATGATTGAGGTTTATAACATTATGCATGGGATAGAGCAGGTAGAGACAGAAGTACTTTTCTCCCTTTCTCACAATACAAGAACTCGTGCGCACTCCATGAAATTGCTGAGCGGTCGGGTTAGAACAGATAAAAGGAAATACTTCTTCACCCAAAGAGTGATTAACACATGGAATTCACTGCCACAGGAGGTGGTGGCGGCTACAAGCATGGACGGCTTCAAAAGGGAATTAGATAGGCATATGGAGCAGAGGTCCATCAGTGGCTATTAGCCACAAGGTATGGATAGGGGCTCTGGGGCAAGTGATGCTCTGTCTTCTTGGTGCTTGGGGGGGTCAACAGTGGGAGGGCTTCAAATGTCCTGGCCCCACTGGTGGACCTCCTGATGGCACCTGGTATTCCTGCCAAATGTGTGACACAGAGTGTTGGACTGGATGGGCCTTTGGCCTGATCCAACATTGGCGTCTCTTATATTCTTATGTAATGCTGCTCTTTTGCAGTGTTTTATAAACATGCATGTGCAGTAATCTCAAAATCTTAAGGAAGTGGAAAGACACAAATGAAGGAAA